ACTCGTCTTGTACATCGAATATGCTCATTCTGTTCTTTTTTAGGATCAGGACAGGCACAAAGATAATCTGTCTAATTTCTCTGCTTTCTTCCCTATCTCAGCCTTCACTTTTATCAACGTTTACTCACACACATACACTCCACTCATGCACACACAACACTTTCTCTTTGTTAGTCACACACACACACAAATCAAATCAACAGGTTCTCACGCTTTCTCATGTGCACACACACGCATTCAGGCACACATATGCATACTTTCTCTCACTCACATACACACACACTCACACACGCACAGGTTCCTCACTTGCACACACACTCAAGGCCTTCTCTCCCACACTTTTTGCTACATTCACACAGAGCGAAGAGAGAAAAAAAAACACCAAGCAGCTTTTGGTCCCCTTCTCTTTCTTTAGGAATGAAAAATCAATCACTTCTTTATCTGTTTCTTTATTAATAATGGCTTCCAGAAGAAATGAAGAAATCCCAGTCCTGGAAGCCATCAAAGCAGCAGATCTGCCCTGTCAAAAAAATACAAAGGGAGAGCCCGTCCATTTCAAGTTCAACAACACAGCTGTGTATGCAGACAAGAACGTAAAAGAGCCTAAAGCCTCTGACAGTGATTCAGATGAAGATGGTGAAGACAATGGTAATAAACTGTACAACATTGTCAGTTGTACAGTTCAACTTTCAAACAGATGAAGGCCTTTTTCAAGGCACTGGGCAAATCTGAAAATAAAGATCTGACACTGACCAAAAAAGTCCTGGAAGAACGAGAGCGCCTCGAAAAAGCCATGGCAGATCTGACCCCTCGAATCACTGATGGCCTCACTAAACTGAGAGAAATTAACACAATTAAGGAACGTTTGAAAAATGAGAGAGATAACGTAAAACAAAGTGAGAATTTTGAGCAAGACATTGAGGTGTTGATACCGAGAAGAAACCCCATAGACAGTTTTGCCCTGAATTGCAACTTATGCTTATACACATGCCACTCCACCTGCTTCCTCCCTGCAGAAGATTCTGTGGAGACTTGCGCTGTGATGGATGAATCTGGGCGCTGTGTTATGTGCCCTCAATTATGCTCTCACACTTTCCATTTAAAGGAAAAGGCAAAGTGGACATATGTTAAAAAAATAGAGAGAAAAAACATTACCGAGCTGAAAGATAACTTCATGAAGGCACACGGAAGAATGTTGAACACGCAGGATATGCTTGATGACCTTGAAATGCAATTAACGTCATTTAAGGCCGAACTGAGGAAGCTAATCAAAATGTCCTCTGATTGCTTGAGACAACTGAATAAAATTGCACTGAAGGCCAGCTCTCTCTCCACTGTAGAATACCTTGAAATCTTGATCAAAACGGAGAAGGCGGAGAAACGTCCTGGATTTGAAGACCGCATTGTTGAACTCGAGAGGATTAAAAAAGAAATTCTTCTTCAGGAAGAGATCGCAAAAGGAGATTATCCGTGCATAGCGGAAAATTCATCGACATATTAGACATTGTCTGTGTATTTGTTGTCGAATACGCCTATGAAACTGAAACCTGGAGACCGTGGAAATTGGAAGTTCTTAACTTCAGTTTTTAATCATGACTGAGAGATGAAAATGAAGACTGCTGAGTTATAAAAACACCAGTAAGATTTGAATTTTACTTCTTCTTTTTTTTACTTATATAATCACATACAGGTCTGTGTCTGGACCCAGTCAAGAGGCTAACCTTGTTTACGAACTCCCTGCTTGTCCTGTCACGGTTATGGAGGCCGTTTGTGAACTTTTGTCTTGTCCCGACCCAGCCAGGGAGGCTGCCCCTGAACGCTCAGTCTTGTCTATCAACCCCAATGTTCAGTCTGTGTTGTCTGTCTCTGCTCTCTCGTTGTTACAGTCTCCGCCATGGTCTCCTGATTGGTGTGATTCACCAGGGGGGTTTCCTGTTTCCTCTGCTCCGCCGTGGTGGTCCTCTGCCCCTTCGTGGTGGTCTACTGTCTGGTTCTGGTGGTCCTCTGCTCCGCCGTGGTGGTCCTCTGCTCCGCCATGGTGGTCATCTGCTCCGCCGTGGTGGTCCTCTGCCCCGCCGTGGTGGTCTACATTCTGGTTCTCACCTCACTCACTATATAACACCCACTCAAACTGCCATTCTCGGCTGAGTATTGTTTAGCCCGTACCCCATTCCGAGTCTCTGTGTTTTCCTTGTTTTGCCTTGCCTTGCCTGTTTTTGCAGTTTCTGATCTTTGCCTGTTTTCCTGGATTTTTCCCTCTCGTCTCGCCCCTGTGATTCTGTCTGCCGATCGGTGACCTACGCTAGCCCTGGGACTATTCTTGTGTTTTGCCCGCCATATACCTGTTTGCCATTGTTTGACCCTGCCTGTTTACCACGTCTCTTTAATAAAGCCTGCACATGGATCCACACGTCTCACGTCTCGTCAGCCCCGTCACAATATCTAATGTCAAGAAAAGCCAAGAGAAAAGATGATTTTATTTAACATTTGATGGTGTCAATCTGATTCACTGATCTCGTCCAATGTCTAAGCTTTGATTATATGGTTGATGTTTTATACATTTTATATTATTGATTATATATGTCCTGTGACTCTACAGCATGAGATCCAGCAGTGTTGTTACAATCAGTTATGAGGAATTCAGCTACATAATTTATTTATGCCACAATGCATGCTGGGAGGTTTTTTTACTATGCCAGCACCCAGCGTGAAACTTTTTGTTGATGTCTGTGTGTGTCTGAATGGTGCAGTGGTTGTGTGTTTTTTTAGTTTTTTTTTTATGATGATGTGTTTAAAAAACAACTTAATAATAACTGATTATTGCTGTAAATCTTTCTGTAGAATCACAGTGGTGATTGAAATCAGACACTGGATGAGATCAGTGAATCAGGGCACTTTATGACTATTACCATCAATCAGTTGCAAGATCATGAAGTCAAAAATTACTTTTTACAGTGTATGTTGAATTCAGGGAGTTACTCAATTCAGAAACTAACTGGTTAACTTCTTGGATATGAGACTGGGCATTACATGCAAAAACAGTACTGTATGTGCTCGCAAGTGTGTAATATATACAGCCAGTGGGTGGTGTCCTGATTTATTGAGTGTGAGACAGTTTAGACACTTTCAGTTACTCTCATTAAGTTCATACTGTCAGACCAGGAGACATACAGAGAGACTCTGAGAGACAAAACAAACATCATGGCATCAGGATATAAAGGTTAGTCTAAATTAAATAACCTAATATGACACTCACATACTACAATAAAGTACTGAGAATTAAATTATATGCTGTGCTTTTTGTTTCTGGTAGTTAACACAAACTTTGTTGTCCTGTGACTCTACAGCATGAGATCCAGCAGTGTTGTTACAATCAGTTATGAGGAATTCAGCTACATAATTTATTTATGCCACAATGCATGCTGGGAGTTTTTTTTACTATGCCAGCACCCAGCGTGAAACTTTTTGTTGATGTCTGTGTGTGTCTGAATGGTGCAGTGGTTGTGTTTTTTTAGTTTTTTTTTTATGATGATGTGTTTAAAAAACAACTTAATAATAACTGATTATTGCTGTAAATCTTTCTGTAGAATCACAGTGGTGATTGAAATCAGACACTGGATGAGATCAGTGAATCAGGCCACTTTATGACTATTACCATCAATCAGTTGCAAGATCATGAAGTCAAAAATTACTTTTTACAGTGTATGTTGAATTCAGGGAGTTACTCAATTCAGAAACTAACTGGTTAACTTCTTGGATATGAGACTGGGCATTACATGCAAAAACAGTACTGTATGTGCTCGCAAGTGTGTAATATATACAGCCAGTGGGTGGTGTCCTGATTTATTGAGTGTGAAACAGTTTAGACACTTTCAGTTACTCTCATTAAGTTCATACTGTCAGACCAGGAGACATACAGAGAGACTCTGAGAGACAAAACAAACATCATGGCATCAGGATATAAAGGTTAGTCTAAATTAAATAACCTAATATGACACTCACATACTACAATAAAGTACTGAGAATTAAATTATATGCTGTGCTTTTTGTTTCTGGTAGTTAACACAAACTTTGAAGGTAAATGTGGTCTGACATTATTTATATTTCATGATAAAGTTTGTATAGTAAAGATTGCATAATATATGATCACTATTACATTAAATAATCAAAACATTAGTCTATATATCAGTTTATTTTGTGAGGTTCAGCTGATTATGTAATATTATGGTGGTGGGAATGAAAGTCATACCACTTTCTGTGGAAAATTAATTGACATAAGAGGATAAAAAAATGCATATAAGTGGTTCCCGATGTTGTCCTGAAGCAACCCTAGGAGTGCAAATTTTAGATTTCTTATTGGACACACCCAACTCTAGTAAATCAGCTGATGGGTTACTTCAACTGATTTAAATAACGATGTTAAATAATAATGAAGAAGAAATACTATGTACTGCACTGCCATATGCACATAATTGTGTGCAATTTAAGAATGTGACCATGGCTATTATATCTGGTCCCCCAGATATTTATTTAGTTAAATATAATTATGACAAATCTGATTAAGTTCATGCAGTTAGGATACGGTACATTTAGTAAATTATTTACAGTCATTCATATGACTAAAGTGTGTTTTTAGGCTGACAAAATGTAAATGCCTCTGTCATGCATGTAGCTAGCATTAAGAATAAGTGCCGGTGAGGAAATTTTCCCACTGATTAATTAAATAATGACAACACCAGTTTTATCTAAATACACTTGCACATTTAACAAGAAATTATATTTGTTGATTGTCAGCATTTGTAGCTCTTATTTTGATCATTAATGTTTGATATTTACATCTTCCCCCTATCTTTTAACCAAAATATTATTAAAGGGGTAATATGATTCGATTCGAACACTCTTTGGAGTGTTACAAGCTCTTGGTGCATAAAGAAGATCTGTAAAGTTGCAAAGACTAAAGTCTCAAATCCAAAGAGATATTCTTTATAAAAGTTAAGAGTCAGCCACACCTACCTAAAACGGCTCGTTCTAACACGCCCCCACATGTCTACGTCACTATGTGGGAAGATTTGCATAAAGCCGCCCAAATGTTCACGCAAAGAAAGAAGGCGTAACTTTTATTCTCGCTGTAGTATTGTTGCCGCCACCATGTCGTGAAGGCGCTGTGTTTCGTTGTGAAAGCGAAACTACTTTGTTTGGTCTTCCAAAAGAGGACGATATCTGCTTCGTCCTTGCCTGGAGCTGATTTGTGCTGGTCGCTGAGGAAATACATCACCTTCGTGCTGTGGATCGCCGGATCGGCATTCACTGTGAACGAAGCGGAGTCCAGCCCGGGGTCGTCACATGTGGTTGCCGTAAGCCTCCTTCGTCGAATCCGCCGGCCGCGCCGTTATCAAGCCCGCCGCCTCTGCTCACTCAGCCCGTCGGCCATTCCTCACTCTAGCCCCCGGACTTTTTATATTTGATATTTTTTATATTTAAAGTGAGTTTTTTGGGCAGTGTAGAGTAGGGCTTGTTGTTTGTCATTTCTCCGATCACAAATGCAGACATGGTTTTATGTTTACGTGGTGCGATGCAACGCAACACGTAAAAAGACAATATAAGTCATTATAATCCATAATTATGTCCCCACTGGATGCAACGAATGCCTCGTTTGTAATGGGTTTTCATGTTTTCGAATCATCGTTCCGGCCGGACAGGGTATCATCACAATGTGTTAAGGGGCGTAACATTTCCGTCACACGCTTGAGGTATTCGGCCAATCACAACGCACTGGATAGCTGGCCAATCACAGCACACCTCGCTTTTCAGACCGATGAGCTTTGTAAAAATCGACGCGTTTCAGAAAGGCGGGGCATAGAGGAGAAACAATAATGTACAGTATGTGGAAAATAATGTGTTTTTTAAGCTTAAACCACATAAACACATTTCATTACACCAAATACACAAAATAATGTTCTTATCATCACAATGTGTTAAGGGGCGTAACATTTCCGTCACACGCTTGAGGTATTCGGCCAATCACAACGCACTGGATAGCTGGCCAATCAGAGCACACCTCGCTTTTTCAGACCGATGAGATATCGTTGTAAAAATCGACACGCTTCAGAAAGGCAATGTGGAAAATAATGTTTTTTGAACCTTGAACCGCATAAACGCATTTCATTACACCAAATACACAAAATAATGTTCTGTTTAGCAACATCATATGACCTCTTTAATATGTGCCCCACCTTATAGAAAACCAATTGTAATGAACTTTGAATTGCCATGGATTTTTTTTCTCATTCTTTTTTCACTTGCATTGGTATGGTGATTATGAGTATATTATGAATGTGTAATACAGATTATAGTACTTTTGTGAAATGAAATATAAGTTGTTTTTTAATACCATAAACGTAAATCCCATAAAAATAAGTAACTACTGTATTTTTTTTTTTTTACAGTAAAGCACTAGGAACCACAGATAATGTTTTTTTTTTTTGCCATAAATGCATAAAACATAACGGGTTGCTATTGTATTTTTACGGTAAAATACTGGCAGCAACAGTTGCCCTTTTTTTACCATAAATTTCACAGGTTTTTTCTTACAGTGCAGGATCTGAGGATTGTTTTATTGGGAGTCTCTGGAGCTGGAAAGAGTCCAACAGCAAATGCAATACTGGGGCAAGATGCATTTAAAGAGAGCAGAACCAGACAGAGTGAGATACAGAGAGGAAGAGTAAGGAGCAGAAACATCTCCATCATCGACACTCCAGGATTCTTCAACACGCAGCTGACTGATGAAGAGCTGCAGAAACAGATGATGAAAAGTCTTTCTCTCGCTGATCCTGGTCCTCACGTGTTCCTGCTTGTCATCAACCTGGAGACCTTCAGAGAGGACGAGAGAAACATTGTAGAAAAGATTCAGGAGATCTTTGGAGCTCAAGCCTTGAATTTGACCATGCTGCTGTTTACTAGAAGAGAACTAATGTCAAACAGAGAATGGATGGATATTAAGTTTAGTAGAAAGTTTCAGGACCTAATCAGTCACGGCAGAGGACAATATCATGTGATCAACAGAAAAAGTGAGATTAATGAAACTCACATCACCAAGCTTCTAGAGAAAATTGATGAAATCATCAAGCAAAATGATGAAAAATATTATAACAATGAGATTCACTTAAAGTCTACAATAAAGATTAGAAATGAAAATAAAAAACAACAGGAAGAAAATGAAAAGGACAGAAAAAAAGAGCAAGGGGAACAGATAAAACCAGAGCAAATAAAAATAGCCTGGGAAACAATTAAAATGCACAGTGCCAAGGATAAGAACACAAGAAATGTTGTGACCGAAAAGAAAAGTTTCCTTTCTAATGTGACAAAAAGTGAAATAAATGAATTACATGAAGACAGATTTAGAGTTCAACAGGAAAACAAGAATGATGAAGAGGAGTTGGTCAAACAATCAGTAAAATCACTGAAAAGCGCATTCGAAAATATGGGAGAAAAAAATACAGTCCAGGAACCGAACAAATGCTGGAAAACAAGCGGAAGAGAAAAATGGGACCAAAAGAAACCGACAGAGACAGAACAACATCGAACCCAAGCCGGTGAGAACAGTTTTAATACACTTTTCTTTAATTTAATGACACATCTCTTGAAAATTGAATGAAACTTAATTTATTTTTCTGTAGAGTCCATACAGAACAGACGCACACAATCTGGCGACTGCAGAGATCTCAGGATCTTAATGGTGGGTAAAACTGGAGCTGGAAAGAGTGCGACAGGAAACACCATCCAGAGACAAAAAACATTTAAAGAAGAATTATCTACTGAATCTGTGACTAAGATTTGCCAACAGCATCAGCAGACAGTAGATGGTAGAAACATCTCAGTGATCGACACTCCAGGACTGTTTGATACATCAATCAGTGAAGAACAACTGAAGACGGAGATCGAGAAGTGTGTGGAGATGTCTGTTCCTGGTCCTCATGCGTTTCTTCTGGTCCTCAGACTGGACGTGAGATTCACAGATGAGGAGAAAAACACAGTGAAATGGATTCAGGAAAACTTTGGAGAAGAAGCTGCATGTTACACCATCATTCTGTTCACTAGAGGAGATCAGTTAGATAAACCTATAAAGCAGTTTCTGGCAGAAAATAAGCAGATTAATGAGCTAGTTAGTCAGTCTAAAGGCAGGTATCATGTGTTCGATAATACAGATGGAAAAAATCAATCACAGGTCACTGAACTGCTGGAGAAGATCGACAGAATGGTGATGGAGAATGGAGAGCATTACACAAATGAGATGTACAGAGAAATGCAGAGAAAAATCTGTGAAGAAGGAAAGAGTTGGAGCGAGGAAGAAGAGAGAAAGCAGGTGGAAGAGGAAGAAAATATAAGGGAGGATGAAAGAAACAGGCTATTGAACATGGCTAAAGATGTGGCCTTAGTGGGCGCAGGTGTGGTAGTGGGTGCAGGAGCAGCAGTTGCTGGAGGTGCAGTACTGGCCTCAACTGGTGGAGCGACACTATGTGCAGCTGTAATCTCAGGAGCTGCAGTGGCTGGAAATGCGGTACTGGCCTCTACTGCTGGTGGAATGACACTAACTGATGCTTTAATGACAGGAGCAGCAGTTGCTGGAAATGCAGCACTGAAATCTGTTACTGGTGGGGCATCACTAACTGAAGCTTTAATTGAAGGAGCAGCAGCAGCTATGTCAATAATTCAAGTTACAGTTACAGATCCAAGAAGCTGAAGGAAATGCAGCAAACGATACATAAGTAGTTACAATTACTGAAGGAGTGCTACTTGGAGTCAGAGTCTCAGAGCATAATTTGAGCAGTAGTTTTATTATACTACACATATGTGAAGTGAGGATCGCATATCATTAGCAAGAATTCAAACATATAGTTGGATGGATAGATCACTGGAGAGTCCGTTCAAATCGTCATCAGCTGCGGGATCTGCCCTTAATGGTGTTGAGGTTTGGCTATTTAATAAATTAATAGCAAGTAATAATGTTCTTTGATGAGTGACAGCTTTGAATGATTTTTAAGGGAGTTTGTAAATGTGATACTGATTTAATACAACAGTTCAATAGATAAGAAGTTAATATTAAGTGACTTACATTTTCTGACTATAACACTATCATCTGATTTTGCTCTATTCTGTCGTCGAAAATAGTTTGAAACAAAGTCGCAGCTCAGCCGCTGCGCATCTCCATTCAAACACAGCGGTGTCTCGTTTATGAATGAACGGGGTTTTTAAACGAATCTAGTGAGTCAGTGATTCATGATTACCCATTCATAAAGACTGTCACTTGCTTCATTCCTGAATGAATCAGCCGTTCGAATGAATCAATTGAATGAATGATTCACTGATAAAATCAGTGACTTGTCGCCACCTGCTGCCAGTTTGTTTCATTTTTAAAGTATCTTTTCAGTTCTTTAAATCACTTAATATTTCTATATTCAACAATTTTTACAACATTAATCTTAACATGACTTTATGGATTTAATTGCACTCATGCCACCTCTGATCCTCATTAAATGTCTGAAAATACACCTACAAGCCACTTGTGTGTTCTTCTGTGCCACCTCTGTACAAATTAATTTGAATACTGATTTAATTTGATTAGTAACTTATTCTTCTTATTCTACTTGATCTTATTCTGTGGTTTTAATAAGAATTTTTAAAAAGCTTATAAAATAGAATTTTAAAAAAATTTGACATAAAATGACATACTTTTAATAAAGTTAGAAAAATGCCATTACAAAGGTAAAAACAAAATTCCACTGTAAATCACTTTAAGGAGTCAAATATCACCTCGTAATGGGAAGGCAAATTTTTGATCAAATTTTGGATTATTGATTAGAAGGTGCTCCTAAATTTTTTAAGCGTTGAGCCCTGGTTTATGGTAATTTTTGGAGAAAAAAGGCACTCTTCCATGTGAAATTGATTAACTATATGAAGTGGTATAAATATACACATTTTCTGCCCCATGTCTTGAATTTGTGATCATTCTGAATGTATTTTAATAGACTCAATCATGCAGTGAAAGAGCGCACCGTAAATGCGCACGCGCACAAGACTTCACGTAATGCGTGCACTCTGTAGGTGTTTTGAATGTTTGTTTTTTGCGTCGTGAGAATATTGAGCAAAATAGCTCACTTGTCGTGGTGTTACTTAACTATATCATGTTATGAATAAACTAAACATTGTGAATTTTTACCTCAGTGTGTTTCTTCTGAGTTTATGTGTGCTGTTATGCTCATTTGTTCTGAAGACTCTCACAAAGAGACAACCAGAGTGAGCCTCAGAGAGAGAGAGAGAGAAATTGCAAGCTCGTAGACAGGAGTGTGTTCGACCAAAGTCCCTTTCTCGGTTTGACTTGAAGCAGCGGTGCGCAGACTGATCGCTGTATGACATCAAAGCACCGCGAGAGCAACAGAGAGCAGATGGCAACACATGCTTTCGAATCGCTCTCGCGGTACTTTAATGTCCGATCAGTCTGCGTGCTGCTGCTTTAAATCCAATACACCTCATCTCACAGCAGGGCCGTTTTGACGGCACACTTATGCTCACATGTAAGCATGTCGTCAGCGTGGAAGTTCTTCATTGTGAGTTAAACAGACACAAAGTTCGCAATTTGTAATACAATATTGACAATATTGTTTTTGCTCAAGTTCGCTGACGAAGTTTCAATCAAAGCCACAGCAGAACTGTTTTGTGTCTCCGAGCAACACAGCGGTGTTTCGATATGAATAAATCCACGTTTTTGAAAGAATCAAGTGAGTCAATGATTCAGTAACATATTCATAAAGACAGACACCTTGATTCTGAATGAATCAGCCGTTTGAATGAATTACTAATGCCTTGCTCATTAAAACAGTCATTTACCGTCATCTACTGGTGGTTTGGTTTCATATTTAAAAGTATTGCATTTTTCCCAACATTTTAACTTGTATGTTCAAAAATATTTAAAACGTTAATCTTTTATTAATGCATTTGAAATGTTGTGGTGTAAATGCATTCATGGCACCCCAGCTTCATTAAACAGTCCGAGTAAATACATCTAATGCCACTTCAGATGCAGCTTCTGTTTCCAGTGAAAAGATGGAGTTTGTTGATATTATGCGCACTCTAATGTGAACATTTACATTTGCAAAAATAAATTACTCCACTGCTCACAAAGAGAAGTATGAACACCGATGACGAGAGAGTTGCACTGTCCAAAAAGTTTGTGGTATAAAAGTGCTTTTTTTTAACTTGAAACATATGTTGTTTTTTTCCTTTATTTTCTTGTCAGAGTGCACCAGAATGCTTCATTTACATGTTAAATTCCCAAACATTTTATTCTGGGGGGATGCCCCCAGACCCCCCTACAAAGGTCATATTTCGAATTATGTCACCTTTTTGACCTCTTGTGAGTTTGCAGGTATGAAAATACGGTTTAAAAAAAAAGAAAAAAAAACAAACAAAAATGAACTCGATTTGGTTTGGATAAGTGATACACGTGCTCAGACAATAAAAATATATTCAGATTTACCTCTATATATTAACAATTTACGTTTATATATTCAGACATAACTATATATTCACAATTCACGTTTATATATTCAGACATAACTATATATTCACAATTCACGTTTATATATTCAGACATAACTATATATTCACAATTTACGTTTATATATTCAGACATAACTATATATTCACAATTTACGTTTATATATTCAGACATAACTATATATTCACAATTTACTTTTATATATTCATATTTACATTTATATATTCATATTTACATATATATATTCAGATTTGTAACTACAGTATATATTCATATTTACATTTATTTATTCATATTTACCTCTATATATTCACAATTTACATTTATATATTCAGATTTACTTCTATATATTTACACTTATAACTATATATTCAGATTTGCATCTGTATATTCACAATTTAAATTTATATATTCAGATTTACTTCTATATATTTAGACTTATATAGATGCAAATCTGAATATATAGTTATATTCACAATTTACATTTATATATTCAGATTTACTTTATATATTCAGATTTGCATCTATATAAGTCTAAATATATAGGTTATATTCACAATTTACATTTATATATTCAGATTTACTTCTATATATTTACACTTATACAGTTTGTTGATTTGCATATATTCAGATTTGCATCTGTATTCACAATTTAAATTTATATATTCAGATTTACCTCTATATATTCAGGCTTTTAACTATATATTCAGATTTACTTCTATATATTTACACTTATACAGTTTGTTGATTTGCATATATTCAGATTTGCATCTGTATTCACAATTTAAATTTATATATTCAGATTTACCTCTATATATTCAGGCTTTTAACTATATATTCAGATTTACTTCTATATATTCATAATATACATTTATATATTCAGATTTTTAACTATATAGTCAGACTTATAACTATATATTCACAATTTATATTTATATATTCAGATTTACCTCTATATATTCAGGCATAACTATACATTCAGATTTACTTCTATATATTCATAATATACATTTATATATTCAGAATAGTATATAATTATTTCCTGTTTGGCACCTCATAATAATAATACATACATTTATGTATGTAAATAAATACGCTGCCGTCAGAACTGAGGTGTTTAGCCTCAAAATGTTCACAACGCCTCAGTTCTGATGGCAGCACGATCATCCCTTCCTCTTTAGTACTAGTTTTAATGTGAAATAAACATGAATTAACATCTCATGCCTCGTAATTGCTCAATCAGTGTTTCACTCACGGAAAGATGCGATTAAAACAGCTTGTAAACAAAATGTCACATAGCATTTCATTTACCTCAGACAAATCATCAGTGTCCACAGCTCGTCAGTTCGCCAGAGAAATGAAGACTAGAGAAGAGCATTTCGTGAAATATTAGACTATATACGCATTATATTTTACCTTGCCTGTTAGTGATATCGTAATTATTTAATGTAGACTATATTTAAATAAATATTTTATGAAACAAGTTATGACAGCCACTGTGTAAATGATTAGCTATATTTCAACAACAAATATAAATTGTATAATTTAGAAGTTAATTTAAAACGGCAAAAAAAAATTTTATACAAGTGTTGATTATTATAGTTAAAAATAAATAGTAATTACATTTAAATTTGGGCTCTGTTGTTAATTGTGACCTTTTCGTATTCTTAATGTAAAAGTGCTCCCTATAGTTTGGAGCAGAGGTAGATTTTTATCAAATGTTTTTTACATTTATTTTATGAGGTAGATTTAAAGAACATTTCAATTCTAATTGAATTTATTTAAAGAAAGAGCCATTTGTTCTGTAAAACAGTGTTTAATTAAAAAATATATGTTAAGTATTTTTTCCTTATGCTGTATCGAAACCATACCGAACCATGACGTCAAAACCGAGGTACGTACTGAACCATCATGTTTGTGTCCCGTTACACCGGTGCCATTTCATATTCTCTGTTTTACCAGCGTTAACTCTGCCCCTGGTGTGACGTTGCATCGCCTAGTCGCCGTGCCCCCTTTGACTTTTACATGGTTTCGACTAGGTCCTGTAGACTGAACTGTGTTTACCAAGAGCGCCAATATCGTTGCCGCTCTCATTACGGTTCCGTATATGAAACTTGACATACTTAGTCGAGCCAGGATCCATATTGCTGTATCGCGGCGAGATTTTATACATTCCCCATAAGCATAGTAATGCAATGTCAAAGTGAACGAATCGAAAGGGAATGCTCTCGGTTACTCACGTACCCTCGGTTCCCTGAGATGAGGGAACGAGACATTGCACTTACTGCCGTGTCAACTAGCTCAGGGTCTTAGAATGCCAAGTTGCTTCAGTCAAGATTCTGAATGGATGACGTACAAGCACTGCCTTATATAGAGAGGGAGCCCTCATATTTCGCGCGCTTGAACGCCATTGGCCAGTTTCACTGGCGTGATTCAATAAGGCTTCAGTAGTATTTGGAGGAAGGGTTTCCCCA